CCGGTTCCTATATATAGATACTGCCTTTGGTTGTGTTCTGGGAGGTTTTTATTACTACGCTGCCTGGCCAGCTCCCAGCTGAGCTTTTCCCTCAAGGGATCAGATTTTGGAATCAGAAAGTCAGAAAGGATCAGTGATCATATTAAGGGGTCTCTCTCTCTCCTTCTCTCTCTCCCCACTGTGGCTCTACACTGCAGGTGGACGCCAGCGTGGACTGGCTCCTCCCTTTTGCTCAAAGACTCTTAATAATAATGATGACAATGCTGATGGAAACTGACCAGCCCCACTATGGCAGCAAATACAAGCAAAACAGCCCTGACGTCCTGGGCTTAAAGGAAACATAGTATAATTTGGGTTGAAATGAAGTGCAGATTGTCACAAACAGCTCAGTCTTTAGATAACAGGACCCAGGACTCTCTGAGGATAGAAGCAAAGAAAGGGGATAGTAAGGGTGGGTTTTTTGGGGGGGTGGGTGGGTGAGTTCTGAATTTTACTCCTGAATTCTCCAGGGGAGGAATACTGGGAATAAGAAGGTTCATGAAGGAAGGTGGAGGTGGGGATTGGAGGAAGAGATGTAGGCAGGGAAGGAGGAAGGGGTAAGGGGTTTACTTAAAGAAATAAGGTTGTACCCTGGCAGTCTGATTTTTTTCAATGTGTCCGATCACTGCCAGCGAAGCCCTCCACTGTACGCCCTTTGTTTTCTGTTCAGAAAACCGAACCTCTGCCCCATTTTATAGTGTCTGCCTTCACCTGCCTCTCTGACTCCTTTATGTTTAGCTGTCATGGATCTGACTGCCTTCCTGGTCTCCATATTTTATGTGCTTCAGCACCCCTTCTCTTTTTTTCTTCCCCTCTGTCTCTTTCTTCCCTCCTCTCTTCGCTGCTTTTCTTTCTCAGTCCTCTCTCCTCCCAGACTCTTGTCTTTGCCCTTCGTTCCCCCTCCCCTCCCCCTTCCATCTCTCCCTTTCCCTCTTCCATCCCTCCCCTCCCCCCTCTTTTCCCCTTTTCCTTCTTTCCTCCCTCCTCATTCCTCCCTTCCTCCTCTCTTCCCCTCGCCCCTTCTGCCCTTCTCCCCTTCCCTCCTGTCTCCACGTCCCCATCTCCCCATCCCCTCTCCCTCTCCCCTCTCCCCTCTGCTTCCCTTTCCCTCCCTCTCCCTCTCGTCCTTGTTTATCTGTAAGCTCCAATTTCTTGCCTTATAGATTTACCTGCAGAACAAGACACCGCTCCTCTTGCAAAAACTGTTTAAGAAATCCATATCCTCTCCCCTTCATTCCTTGGGCATTTCAGAAATGATATTCCTCCCCCAACTACCCCCGTCAAAATAAAATAAATTCAGCCAGCTCCTGCTGTGTGTCCTTAAATCCATTCCCTCTAGCTTCGCTGGTTTGAAAGCCTGTACCCTAGAAGGGGCCTCCTGCATTTGCTGGCAACCCTGCTCCAGCCTGATCGCCACAGATAGTGCTTTGGAGTGAAAAAAAGGGGGAAAAACCCTCTCGTTGGAGATTTCAAAACAGATCCTACCAGCTTTCAAATCTGTGCACTTGTGGAGTGGCAGGGCTTGGGGAAGAGGCGTCGGAGACTTGGGGTGCGGGTGTTTGTCATAAACAAATAAGCCACAGGATTTATACATATATATAAATGTGCGTTTCCCTTGGCATGTTTGGTTGTCTTTCTCCCTGGCATCCAGGGTGGGTGGTGTGCAAGTCTGACTTCTCTCACACTTTGACTGGGGTCTGGCGAGTGAGCGTGTGTGATGGAATTGAGGAGGGGGTTGCTGGGTTTTTGATCTGATTCACTTGACAGATTATTTGAATCCAGCCCACCTTTCCGCACATGTCAAACAGATGGGATCATTGTTAAAACCTTGGGAGAGCCGTGGCTGAGCGGTGGGTAAGGCAGGGAGGGGAAGTGAGGAGGGGGACCGTGCAGAGGGGGCACCTTCCAGTAGCTTTGTGTTTTCACACGTTGGAACCGACAGGAGCCCTTCTTCTCCGTGGGGGGTGTTTTGGGGGCATGGGGCTGATGAGGGGTGGGATGGAAAGGAGAGAGAGAGGTGGGGTGTTGGTGGGCAGGGTTATGATGTCACAGCAAAAGTTACAACAGGAGGAAAACACAGAAATGGTTCAACATTTTTTTTTTAAACTTTGGACTGCCAAGAGCTGAAGGAGAGTGGTGAGCAAAGGAATGAAGGGGAGAGAGAGAGAAACTAAACTGGAAGCTTGAGTTTTGTGTAGCTTCTTGAAACCTTATGAATGGATTACTAGCAGCTGAGAACCAGGAGAGACCTATAGGGGATGCAAGATCATTCACACACTAGAAGGGGGAGAAAGGAACGCACGGAGGAATTCTTCCTTGCTGTGTATCCCTCCTTCCTGAAATGAATGGTATGAAACCTTTTTCTGAGGGTCGTGGGGGTGGCATAAGGAAGGTGGAAGTTTACTTCTCCTTTTCTTACCTGGGTATCTTCCCTTCATTTAAACTAAGGCTCCTCTCCTTCCTTCCCTCCTTTCTGCCCTGGTTTCTCTCTCTCTCTCTCTGTCCCCTCTGCTTTCTGTCTTTCTCTGCAATCCCCCTACCCCTTTCCAAAGCCCCAGTCTCTATTGAGCTGCTTTGGTGGGGGGGGGGGGGAGGTGGAGGAAAGGACTAAGACAGCAAAGTGAAGGAAGACAGGGAGACGCTAAGAGGAAAAGGCACAGTCTAGGATTGAGGGGTTTCTGTTTCGTGATATCCACGTGCCTGAATTGATATCTTCTTTAGGGACTTGCCTTGAAGCTTCAGTGGATGCTGCATAGGGAGAGAGGGCACACCAGCAATGGGGGTTTAGGATACAGCATTTGTAAAGCACATCAACGAGGGATGAGCTAGGGTGGAGGAATTTAGAAGAAGATGAGGGGATCCAAGGCAGAAGAGGCAGTGTGATCTTACTCCAGAGTAATGTGGGCTGCATGTTTTATATGTGGGCAACACAAGCAGTGATTTTAGAACTGTAAATGATTTTTCTTATTATTGAATGAAGGACCCAATATATTTCTCTACCTGTTTTGTACTCACCCGTGGTCAAACACCCTTACCTGTGTTGAGAATTCAGAACCATGCCCAGTGTGTATGCATGTGTATGTGTTTGTGTGTGTGTACACACATGTTTTTAGGTGTGTGTGTGTACACATGTGTGTATACACACATGTTTTGAGATAGCTTACATCTAGGCAAACAGTATTGTGGAGGTTAAATACACATTATTTAATTCCCCATTTTATCCATTCATTCCAAATCAATGAAAAAAAAAATAGTTGTTTGGGTCTAGCTGCTGATAGTTGTAATTTACTTATTTTGAGACTCTCATTTGTTTATTTGCTCACTCAGCATATGGTGACTTTTAGTAACTTCAGAGTGAGAAACTTGAGCGAGAATAAGAAGACCTGTATCGTGCAAATCCATGGCATTTCCTCTGAATGCTTCCTACAGCAGGATAATTGATTTCTCCTTTCCCCCAATGGCTAACATAAAGTAAATTTGGGGTATTGTCCTTTCAAATCCCAAATGATTGAAATAAGAAAGAATGCAGGATATGTATGGCAAAACAAACAAACAAAAGTGGTCCCTAAAAGAGTGGTGTGGGTTTATTAGACAGTAAGCAAGTCTGTTCACAACACATGTGTGAGTATGTGCGTGTGAGTGTGTGTGAGAGAGAGAGAGAGAGAATACATACAGAAAAGAGTGCTCCAAAACAGTATTGATTGTTGGCTATTGATTGTGTAGGCTGCGGCTGCTGGAAGAGAAAGCGGGAGATGTTTACTGGGGAAACCAAGAGCAGCGTCTGTCCCCTGTGCCTCAGTGAGGTGGGGAGGTTTTCAGGAGGGAGGAGGGGACAGGCAGTAGGTGGAGAGATGCACCGAACTTATTAGCTTTGACATCATCATTGTCTTTAAATGAAACAAACAAGAAGATAATTACAGGCAGAGAGAAAGGGAGAGAAGGGGAGCAGGAGGGACTGAGAGCACAGGCCCCCGAAGGATATGCTCTTCTTCTCATCCTCTTTTCCATCTTCCCAGGGACCCACAAGACTCCCAGAAGGTGAAGTCAAGGGCTCTCAGACTCATAAGGTTATTAGGACACCAGAGTGGCACCCCAGAGGAGAACTTTACAAAGACTTGCAACACACCAACAAGTTGGAAGAGGATTAAAAACAACCTTCAACACTCACCAACCCCAGGCACAGAGCTGGGGGGAATATTCTGACCTGCACAGGCAGACTGGAGGCTGGATGGGGAGCTGGCTGAGGAGGACATCTGGAAAGTGAAGGCTAAGTACCAGCTGGCTTTTTTGTGACCCCCCCAGATTCTTTTTTTTTTTTTTTTGCCTTTTTAGATAGTAAGCATCAAATTCTGTGTCTCCGTATACCAGTTTTTCTAGCAATTTGTTGGAAGCTGAATGTATTTGAGGTTAAAGACGACAAAGAAAAGGTAACTCCCAGGGAAGGAAGGAGGATAAAGAAAAGAACATTGGAGGCTAAGATTCTTTTTAGTGACTTCAGGTAGTGAGTGGTATGTGTGTGCACAAGTGTGTATTTGAGAAGATTTGGCTCCTGCCCACGTGTCCCCCTTCCAGTGTCAACGAGGGGAGGAGCTATTGAAGAAGGGAAAAAAAAAAAGAAAGAAACCTGAGCTCTCTGGAAGAAATTCAAAGGAACCCAGAGAAATGGACTTCATTCTTCAAGGACTGAACTAGAACAAGGAGAGAAAGAGAGGTCAGGGAGAGGTTGGGGGACACACATAGGGGACGGGAGGGGGACAGAGGCTACGCAGTCACCGCACCCAGCGCAGGTAGCCAGGAGAGGTGCTTTTTGGGGGCTGCTTGAAAAAGTTTGGTTCCTGAACAAAACAGTTTGCCAGGGGACAGTGAATCCACAGCTAGCTGTCTCTTCCTTTTATCCCCATCACCCCGGCGTGGTACTCAGAAGCTGACTTCTGGTTCTATATAAAGAGCTGGGGGGAGGTATGATGTGCTTCAAGATTCTGAGGGTGAGCCTGGTAGTTCTGGTTGGGTGGGCGCTCAGTACTGTCAGCTCGGAGCTGGGCTGGATGCGCAAGAGATCCTTGGCCCAAAGAGGACGCCTGAGCCAGGTGCTGTCGGAAGGAGAGCGCTGTTGGCTGGGGGTCAAGGTTCGAAGACCCAGAGTTGCTCCTGAGCATCACCTCTTTGGGGTCTATCCCAGCCGGCCTGGGGACTACCTGAGGCCCTACCTTGCAGGAGATCAGGGAAGGCATCATGCAGGACGCAGTAAGCTGGATGCCGAGGGAATGGCTGTGAGCTCTGTCCCCCCAGACCCAACTGCAAGTGCAAGAGTGAGGAGTGAGGCTGAGCGGCCAGCCGCTCCATGGGGAGGGGACAGTCCTATTGGGCAGTCGGAGCTACTGGGAGATGATGACACTTATCTTGGCGATGGAGGATCCAAGGAGCCTCTAGGTGAGGCTGGGGCTCCAGAAGGCACAGCCTCGGCTGCCACCATGATCACCACCTTCCCATGCCCAAAGGAATCTGGACCAGAGACCCAAAGGAAGGGCTGGACCAAGACCAGGCGTCGGCGCCAGGTGGTGAAGGGACAGGCAGGAGGAATGCGGGGAGACCCCAAGTTTGTGCCCCAGCACTTCCAGCCTTGGCCTAAACATCCCCTCATGCCTAGGGTCCGAACCGGCCCATCAGAGGGTGGCATCCGGAATGGTGGAGGGGACCCCGCCTGGGAAGCAGAGACTGTGAGCCCCCAAGAAAGACTGCCTGTCTTGTACTTCTCTGGGAGGCGGGAGCCGCTGCTGCTGCGTCCAGAAGTGCTGGCTGACATTCCCCGGGAGGCGTTCACAGTGGAAGCCTGGGTGAGACCGGAGGGAGGCCAGAACAGCCCAGCCATCATCGCAGGTAATCACCCACTCCCGGGCTTTCCGTGGTCCGCGGGGTGGGGCTGGCTTCTGGTTTTGGTGAGGTTAGACATCAGGGGGCAAGGAGGGGAAAGGGGCAGAGCAGAAGAACCAGGGAGGGCTGGCCGGGCAGAGAGGGGGAAGGGCCTCTATTCATCTGCGCAGCAGAATCCCAGACATCATCTGCATTAATGACTCTATAACCACAAGAGCATTTGTCCCTTGTATTGATCTCGTGTGCTTCTATACATTGTGCTGGCACTTAGGAGACCTCCAGCTCACTCTCTCATCCCTCTTTAAAGGGGAAGATCTCTGGTTCTTTGTCAGTGGGGAAGAGGTGTCACACTCCATTTCTCATAATCCAGTGTGAGAAACCCAGGCACCTTTGAAACGATGTGAAAGTGTACAGACCTGGGCAGTGAGTCATGCCTGGGCTGGGCTAGGTGGTGAGGAAATGAGGCTGCTGGGTACATAGCCAATGGGTCCTGGTTGGTCTCCTGTTCTTCGAGTAGCCCTGGAATGTAGCAGAAAGCTACTACCTTGACCAGGTCCTGGAGTCCCCTTTGTTTTGTCCTAAAAAAATCACGTGTCCAGCCTGGGACTAGCAAGGTCTACTGCAAAAGGTGGGCACTCACAAGCCAGGACCCTGGTTTCTAACCCGGACTGTTGTAAAAGGGACCAGAAATGCACCTTGTATAATTCTATGGTCTTAATCAGGAACAATATTTGGGAACACTCTCTGCATTTATTTTACAGTATACCCAGATCTTGGCTTTCATGAAAAGCCACCCAGAAGGACAAAGAAAAGAATGGGATTAGGAATAATTGTCTCCCTTGCCTTAATGGGGGTGGGGGGCGGTTGGGGGTGCGACTGGTTTCAGCAAGGAGTGGGTAAGGGATTAGAAGTGATACATGATCATTCAGTGTCTCTTTATCCCTTCAGAGCCCCCACCCCAGGACAGACCCTCACACAAAGCTAGGTACATAGTGGAACCATTTTCATTTTATTAATCTGAATTATGCAAAACACACTTTGATGCTTGCCAGTCCCATGACATGGATGGGGAAACCAAAGTCGTGAGAGGTGTCCCTGGGGCAGATGGGGAGTGGAACCCCAGAACCCCTGAAGGCCTTGACAGTTCCCCATATTAAAGACTCCTCAGGCTGCTGGGTGCCTGCAAATAAGTTTTAGACCAGAGAAAGAAATCTGGAAGGAGGGAGCCTCTTGCGATGGTGTGTTGCTGGAACATCCCTTCCGGACACGCTGTCTTTCCCCCTCTTTGGCTGTAATTTCTCTTTTGGAAGCTGGGATTCCCAGACACTGAACACTCTAGAGTCTTGTGGTTTTTGCTTGATTTTATTTTGGGGTGGGAAAGGGGGTGAAGGGAGAGGATAGAGAAGGGGCTGGGCTGGATGATAGGTTGGGGCAGAGAAAGAGTAGAAGGAAATCCTTATTCTGAGGCCAAATGGAAGAAATAATGAGATGATTATCTGATCGGAGTTGGCAGCTTCACAGTTTTTCCCAGATGACATCTTCTTGCTGCCTAATCTCGCTTCCTAGTACCCATCTGCCAGGGAAACTGCGTGCTTGCCGTCTAGACCACGACTCCACTTACCCCTCCTCTGGCAGGAGCAGCGCTGGGACCTGGGATCAGTTCCCTGGCTCTGAAGAATCAGAGAAAGATCCAACAGGAATATAGAAGGGAGGCTCTAAGAAACCAGTGGTCTGAGTTGTTAAAATTCAGACCTGAGGGAACAGTTTCTGGACAGTGGGTACCTGACCCCTGTTCCCAAACCTTCTGCATCCGTCTGTTCTCATTCTCTGCAGAGAGGAGAACAGGGTCAGGATTTGGTTCCAGTTATAGGGCTTCCTAAGTGGCTCAGTGGGTAAAAGAATCTGCCTGCAATGCTGGAGACTCAGGAGACACGTGTTCAATCCCTGCGTTGGGAAGATCCCGTGGACGAGGGCATGGCAACCCACTCCAGTATTCTTGCCAGGAGAATCCCATGAACAGAGGAGCCTGCCGGGCTACAGTCCACAGGGTCACAAAGAGTCAGACAAGACTGAGGCGACTGAGCATGCACGCGCATAGCTTTCCTTAATGTACCACCCCTCCCCTGCCAGCCCAGAATCTCCCTCCCATGCCCACCTCCACCGCCGCGCCCCCACCACCTTGCCACAGCGCATACTCAACTCCTCCAAGGTGCCCATCTGAGCCCTTGCCACCTCCCTAAGCATGTAAAATTAGGCAGGAAATCTTTCGCAGACAGTCTAGCCTCTGAGGTTTCTTTCTCTTCAAATCAAGGCATTCCCGTCTCCTGTAGGTCCACACCGGAAAGACGGAAGGCAGAGAATACTTGGGTCTGTCTTCTCTCTACCTCCCACCCTGTATCTTTGTTCAGATTTGTGCACCTCAGAAAATATTCAGAAAAGATTTAGGGTAAAAGTCTGGGAGAGATGGGGGCTGAGAACCCAGCCTTCGTTCTTCAGGATTCTAGCAACTGGGTTCCCAGGACAGGGGCATCCTTGTCGACTCGCTGTGGTCAGCTCCATATGGGTTCCCTGGGGCCCCCTGGACTGAGAACCATGAAGGGCCAAGGGTATATTCACCCCCAGGAATAAAAGTCTCCGATTTGCTCATCTACTCACTCCTACCAACAGATCAGCCCATCTTCCTTCTCTTACCCTAGCCCTGGTCCTTTTAGCCGGTACCTGCCTGCTCCTGGGATGGCTGGCCTTCAGCTGTTGCAGAACGACCACAGCTGAACTGTGGGCCCGAGAGGTAAACACAATTCAACCACGGGAGTTCTGCTGCCCCACTGAGGATAACCCAAGATGCTACAACACTTGGCTCCCACACTCTTCTAACAGCTCTCAAACCTCAGGTTTTACCTACTTAACCTAGGCCCAGTTTTCTCCATTCTCCATCTACCAAACTCGAGGCATTTTCTCCTCGGCAGAGACAGTAAGTGATTCAGTTGCCCTAGCCGTGGTAGAGGAACCATCCCCCACCCCTAACCCCCCTAACCCCCCCCAACCCCCCGAGAGACCGGAGGCCTCGGGGAATACTTCCTACACAGAGCACTAGGTGGCAGTGTTGCTTCGTGCACAGGAGAGTAGGCGGCGCCTTGGAAGCTAAGCAGTGGGGAATGCAGTCCGGTTTCTTGGAGGACGGTCCCTTCCCGGGCCTCCGGGAGGTATTCGATCATCCCCTCCCAGAGCCTTGTTGGTAGGCATCCCTGAGGGTCGGCTTCCTACAAGTCTCTTTGCAGGGCCCACGTGAACGGGCTCAAGTGGCATTCCTTGGGTTGTGACTAACCGGCACTTGTAACAACCGTAAAGAAAACAAAATCAACTCGTTACCTCCCTCCCCCCCACCCCTAACTCCCACACGCTTCCAAAATAGGAGGTTTTTGGATTCCGGGTGGATTGCTGGAATACTTTCATTTAGGGCTGAGAGGACAATGTGGGCCTCACAGGCGTAGGTGTTTAGCTTCTCTCTGGCCCCTGAAGCGGGAGCGGTGGTGCTGCCCCGCCAACCCCCAACCCCGCGCAGCTTAGATCTTCTGAAGCTGCCAATCTCCTGTAGCTCTGACGTCCGGCAAGCGGGAAAGGACTGTGTGTGGCTGTTCCAGCGTCAGGGCCTCCATAAAGGTCACTGCTCAGGGGCCTAGCAATTCAGGGATTTGTGGCCACCGAGGAGTAGCCTGGGGTCAGGAGCCCATTTGGACGGGCTGTTGGAACTCAGCTGTGGACATAAGTCAAATGCTGTCCTATCCTGGTGTGAAATCTTTCAGCTCCAGCACCCAACCCTGAAACCATCTGTTTCCCTCCTTCTCAACTTCATTTCCTCTCCTCTCCTTCCACCCCAACACACACAGAAGAGGAACTTCTAATAGGTTCCTCCTCACCCGTAATTGATTTCAAATGTTCCCTGAAGTTGCCCAGCTGACTAACCACCTGCAACTCCAAGTGGCCGGAGACTGAGTCAGTAAGTCCATGGCAGAATCACAGCCCAAGCCCACACTTCTTCATTCAACAAATATTTATTGAGTGCCTTGCCAGGCAAGGCAGGGCAGGGCTCTGTGGGGGAATACAAAGATGTCTAAGAAACTGTCCCTGACCTGAAGATGAGTTTTCCTTCTCTGAGGATCCAGGTTGCGGAGGAGATCCCAGGGCCGAATTTGGGAGTCAGACCTGGAATCAGATTCCATCTGACACTTACCAGTGCTGGGATCTGTGGCAATCCATTCAACTTTTCTGAGCTTTGGTTTCCTCACATGGAGAAATGAGAAAAATGTCTCAAAGTGTTGTTACAGTGTTTAAAGAAGTCATGTATGTAAAGTGCTCAACACAGACTTGACTCTAAAATTCACTTATGAAGTGGTATTAACAGCAGGTGCTCATTGCTAAGAGCAGTGTATTCGCCTACTCATCTTTGGTGCTAACCTGCCAACCTGTAATCTTTTCTTAGGTAGGATATTAATTTCTTAAGAATTTAGCTTGCTCATCTGTCCAGTAGGAATAGTGGTAAATAGGGGTTTTTTTTTTGCAAGATGGTCTCAAGATGATTGAGAACACTATTGAGTCAGTGGCTTGAAAAGACCATTTTTTTTGTTTTTTGATCTTTTTTTTTTTTTAGCCTGAGCTATACTATTGGTGGCTCAGATGGTAAAGTGTCTGCCTGCAATGCAGGAGACTTGGGTTTGATCCCTGGGTTGGGAAGATCCCCTGGAGAAGGAAATGGCAACCCACTCCAATACTCTTGCCTGGAAAATCCCATGGATGGAGGAGACTGGTAGGCTACCATCCATGGGGTCACAAAGAGTCGGACACGACTGAGCAACTTCACTTACTTATACTATTTAATACATTGGACTATTGTCCAAGGCCTTTTTGGGGTCATGCACCCTTTTGGGAATATGATGGAAGCTTTGCTCACTTTTTAGCAATATGCCCATGTCACATATTTCATGTAAGTTTCAAAGGTCTCTGGATTT